CACACACATATATATATATATATAAAACATTATCATTCATCATTCAGTGTCACTACTAGACAGTAAACGTTCCTGCTTTTGTTGCTTTTTTGATGGCGTAAAATAACTCTCATCACTGGAAATATTTAATAGCGATATATCTTTATGTGTATCTTGAATAAAATTAATCTCTTGTGTTTCTTTGTTTCACTGGTTTTGAATAGGAATTCAGTCATCAGGCACCGTAATTTTGTTATTGTTAGTTCTTTAGATGATTCTTCTCTACGTGCTATAATCATTTTCAAATCACGTTGGAATTGCACAGTTCGTTCAACGTTGTTATCATTTGTCAGAAAATGATTTTCAAGTTTATTAGCCATTTGGAGCTCTTCTAGATGTTAACGACTGCTGCCGCGCGCCGTCTGATAGAGCAGCTATACACAGCTAGAGGTATGTATAATGCATAGGTTCCGCCAACACCGTTAGTGAGGGATCACTATACGGGAAAATAGATTGGATTCTATTTTATTTCGCTAAATTATAAGTGATTGATGTTACTTAATCGTTAACTCGCCAATTCGGTGGCCACACAAAGAGAGATGTTTAAACCGTTTTAAAATAAAAAAAATATATATATATATATATATATATATATATATATATATATATATGAGGTAATGGATAGCGGCTTGGATTGAGGAATCGGGGAGCCGAGTTCGAATTCTAGTCATTATTACATTCACTTACGTGTTAATATCCTTGGGAAAGGTGTGAATCCTCTTCTTCTCCCTCCAGCTATGGGTAAATAGCAGGACAGACTGGGTTCTATAGCCTTGGATGGCAACTGGTCTAGGAGAAGGACAACTCTGTATTCGGTCCTTCAAGTGTGGATGTTCCTGCACGAATCCTTCACCACTATAATCAAATCTCATGTGCTGTTGTCGGGCTGTCGTTTTCCTAGGAACTGATCTGCTTGACCCTCATACGTCGAATTCGACGGGAGAGTCGAGTATATATATATATATAAAATGGTAATTCGTATGGAATTTCTAAGATCCAGAGAGAAAGCTCTATGTCACAGACAGAGCAAAATTATTAATTAATGAATATCAAACACTTAAAATAACATAGGTAATAATATTTATTTCATGAAAGCTTTCAAATAGCCTTCAATCTTTTAGACCTGCAAAACAAATATTTGAACTTGTTCCTTTTCTTTCTTTCGTATAAATCCACATTACTTGTTCTATTGCAAGATATCTTGCCACATCTAAGCTACGCTTGGAAAATCACTATAGAATGTAACACTGCAGTGAAACTTTTGACGGCTCCAGCAACACTTACACAGTGATTATATCCGCACGATATATATATATATATATATATATATATATAGATATAGATAGATAGATATTTGAAAAGATATTCGCTTTCTCTGTTTTGATTCTTTTACTCTTTAGTTTATCGTTATCATGTTTATTATTATTTATGCATTCAAACAGTTATACGATGTGTCTGGTGTTTATTACAAAACTAGCTGAAAGCATGCATTTATTTTATCTCCAGCACCTTACTCAATATCACTGTTTTTCTGGACAATCCAAATATTCGCCGAAACTCTAATTCTTCAATCTCGATTCTGGTCATTTTTGGAATTACATTACATTACCTATTCATGTTCCAGAGTTCTTGATTTCCAAATGAGGTCTTGGTATTTTCTCCTATATGCGCCATATCTTTCGTTTTCATGCCTTCGTGGTCCAGTGGTGCAACTACGTTCATGAACTGGCAGATTTGGTGTAACAGCCGACAATATACCCACCCCTCCAGTGTTTGACTTCTCACAACAGTATTTTGTAATCTTTTTCAATTCTTTTGAAAGAAACAATTTCGTTCGTTCATTTTACTTTTTTCTTTCATTTTTCTTTCACTTTCTTTCTCTTTTTTCTTTCTTTCTCTCATTTGTTCATTAATCCTTTCCCGCTTTCTTTCTTTCTTCCTTCATTTACGCATTCATTCTTTCTTATTTTCTTTGTGTCTGCTGTTTGTTCGGTCATTCGTTTTCTCCTTTCGCCCGTTTGTTGGTTATTATTTCCTTTCGTTATTTTTTTCCGTTTTTAATTGATTCTTTCTTTCCTTCTCTTTCTATCATTCAATCGTTTTTTTTTTCTCTCTCATTAGTTCGTTTGTTTTTCACCCATTCATTCATTTTAGTCTTTCTTCTTTTTGTTCGTTCATTCGTTCCCCTTTTCTTTTCTTCTTACGTTCACGCATACAGATTAAAATAGAATGAAGAAAAACAATTTCGAGGTGTCATATATATATATATATATATATATATATATATATATATGTGTGTGTGTGTGTGTGTGTGTGTGTAAAGAAACTCCATATCAAATATTTGGTCAAATGTGTGAGACAGACTAATACGCATTGAAAAGATGTATTTATTATTGGCGCTATTAAACGATTGAATAGAGATATTCCGGCGGCTACATATCGCACATCTCCGACAGGTGGTGCTTTTTTCAACTTCTATTCAAATGTCTCAAGGGCAGACCACTCTAGAAAAGCGTCGCTATCAATATTCAAAAGATGAAAGACTCGTACGTATTTGCTGGAACAGTGCAAGTAATAGCGACGATGATATTTTGAAATATTTTATTAACTCCTGAATTCTAACTTACATTTGTAACTTGTGCGTCAGTGTGCATTTTAGTGTATCTATGCTTATTTCTGTGCAAAAAGAGAGCAAAATTTGAGAGAAAATAATTAGGAACTGATGAAAAACATAGTGGTTTGTTTATTTTGCTATAGCCCTGCTGTTGTTAAAAGAGACAAAGAAAAGAGTGTAATAAAAGAGGGAAATAAAAATAAGAGAGAGTGTGAGAGAGGGGGAGAAAGAAAGAACAAAAGAAAGAAAGAAAGAAAAAGAGAAACAGAAAAAAAAACAAGGAAGCTACTAAAATAAGGATGCAGGAAAGCGTAGAGTAAATGAAAAAAAGGGGAATAAAAAGAAAGAGAAAAGAGATGAGAAAAAAGAGGAAAGTAAATGGAAGAGGAAATAGAGGAGTGGGAGGAGATAATTAAAAGGAAAGTCGAAGGAAGTGTAAGGAGGGAAAGAAATAAAAAATCCCTCTGATTTTGCTTATGATGTTAATATACAAATAAATATGGACAGTTAAAAAAGAGAGAGGGAATTAAGAAACCCCTTGTGGGAATTGTACAGCTCTCTAATATATATATATATATATATATATATATATATATATATATATATATATATATATATATACACAGTCAAACCTAGTGAGCCAGACAAATTAACCCTGGTTTCACCTAAGGGGATCGTCAGGTAGGTTTGTCTAACTCACTAGGTTCGACTAGGTCTGCTCTACGGTTGTATCGAGCCCTTTATTTTATTTAGTTGTTTACTCGTGTCGGGTTTTTTTTCTTTGGGCTGTGAACCTGTATCTCTGCGATTTTATCGAAAGACTTTCATGTTCCTGGCTCTTTCTTTTTTTTTAAAACCTTTTTTTTTCCTTCGAGATTGATTTGATTATTGGCAAATCAAAAATTCGAAGGTTTTTCGAGACGATTATAGTTACACACACACACACACACACACACACACACACACACACACACACACACACACACACACACACACACACACACAGAAAATTTAAAGTCAAATTAATCTGATTTCAAACAGATATTACTTACTTATAGTATAAACAATTTACGTTATCGACATGTTAAGAGTGGATCTATGAATACGAAAGGGACATTATCCGAAACAATTTATCAAATGAATCAGTTATACATAGGCATAAATTCAATAACATCTTTGATTTAAAAGATGGCACACTTATTAAATAGAAAGTAACTAACTTAGAAGGAAAATTCTCGAGAGTGACGCCATTGAATCTTATCAAAATATAAATTTACACCTAGGATTTTTTCCAATATCACCATTTTTGAAAGAATTACTACTTTAGAATATATATATATATATATATATATATATATATATATATATATATATATATATGTGTATCACAAAAGTGAGTACACCCCCTCACATTTCTTCAAATATTTAAGTATATCCCTTCATAGAGAGCACTGAAAAAAGTACCTTTTGACACAATGAAAAGTAGTCTGTCTGCAGCATATATAACAGAGGTAATTTATTTTTCCCTCAAAATAACTCAAAATATATCCATTAAAAGCTAAATCCCTGACAACAAAAGTGAGTACACCCCTAAGAAACTACACCCCTAAAAAGTGAGTACATCCCTAAGAAACTACACCCCTAAATGTCTAAACTGAGTACTGCTTTTCATTTTCCCTCCAAAATGTTATGTGACTATGCCCATGTGTTTATGGGGAGCAGGTGTATTCAAATTTGTAGTGCAGCTCTAACACTCTCTCTTACCAGTCACTGAAAGTTCCAACATGGCACTACATGGCAAAGAACTCCCTGAGGATCTTAAAAAAACGTATTTTTGCACTACATAAAGATGGCCAAGGCTACAAGAACATTGCCAACACCCTGAAACTTAGTGGCTAAGATCATCCAGCATTTTAAAAGAGCAGGGTCCACCCAGAACAGGCCTCGGGTAGGTCGTCCAAAGAAGCTGAGCGCACGTGCTGACCGTCACATCCAAATGCTTTCTTTGAAAGATCGGCGTAGGAGTGCTGTTAGCATTGCTGCAGGGATTAAAGAGATTGGGATTCAGCCTGTTAGTGTTCAGACCATACGCCGCACACTACATCAAATTGGTGTGCATGGCTGTCACCCCAGGAGGAAGCCTCTTCTGAAGGCAATACACAAGAAAGCCCGCAAACAGTTTGCTGAAGACATGTCAACAAAGCCCATAGATTACTGGAACCATGTCCTATGGTCTGATGAGACGAAATTTAATTTGTTTGGTTCTGATGGCCTTAAGCATGTGTGGCGGCGACCAGGTGAGGAGTACAAAGATAAGTGTGTCATGCCTACAGTCAAGCATGGTGGTGGGAATTTCATGGTCTGGGGCTGTATGAGTGATGGAGGTATTGGAGAGTTACATTTCATTGAGGGAAACATGAACTCCAACATGTACTGTGAAATACTGCAGCAGAGCATTATCCCCTCCCTCCAGAAACTGAGTCGCAGAGCAGTGTTCCAGCATGACAATGACCCCAAACACACATCCAAGACAACCACTGCTTTACTGAAGAGGCTGAGGGTAAAGGTGATTGACTGGCCAAACATGTCTCCAGACTTGAACCTAATAGAACATCTTTGGGCCATCCTCAAGCAGAAGGTGGAGGTGCGCAGAGTCTCAAATATCCGCCAGCTCCGCGAAGTCGTCATTGAGGAGTGGAAGAGCATTCCATTGACTAGCTGTGTAGCTCTGGTAAACTCCATGCCCAGGAGAGTAAAGACAGCTTTGGATAATGATGGTGGCCACACAAAATATTGACAGTTGACATGTTGTATGTTAATATTGACAACTTTTCCTAAGCGGTGTACTCACTTTTGTTGCCAGGGCTTTTAATGGCTATATTTTGAGGGAAAAATAAATTAACTCTGTTATATATGCTGCAGACAGACTACTTTTCATTGTGTCAAAGTGTCATTTTGTCAGTGTTGTCCCATGAAGGGATATACTTAAATATTTGAAGAAATGTGAGGGGTGTACTCACTTTTGTGATACACTGTATATATATGTATATATATACAGTTTGAAATTAAACCTAAACGGGGCGTCTAAAAATAAAATAAATCTATTAAGTCTTTAGAATTAGCTTTGTTAACGTTTTGGATATGAAATCAAGCAATTCATATGCTTTCGGGAAAACCTGAACTAGGAAGTGTGAATTACTTAGTATGGAAAATAGAATTTTGCTGGGCTGTGAGGCTCTCCGAGAAAGGTCAACGCAGGTTCGAATGCTACCGGAGGGACTACATTTCTTAACCTTTCATTTCTTTTTCATTTTTTTTTTTTACATAAGATTTTTCGAAGCGCCGGCGTAGTAAATACTGTTTAAGAAAAAAAACAAAAACGGATCGTCTATTTCAAACACGATTAACCAGTAAAAATAATGTTTGAAGAATTATATATATATATATATATATATATATATATTTTTAAAGGGGTGCTGAAAAGGTCTAAATTCGTAAGTCCGACGAAGAATGCATTGTCAGTTTTTGAAAGGTGGGTCGGTTTAAGAACTTTTCACACTGTCTCATATACATTTATATTCATGTCTTTGCATATATATATATATATATATATATATATATATATATATATATATGTGTGTGTGTGTGTGTGTGTGAGCGTACATGTACTAGTATGTGTGACAGTTCGAGAAACTGTCAAATATAATTACCCAAAATACTTATAAATCAGAAACAAAAAGCAAGTCGTAATACTTTATCAACTTGTCTACAGAATTTCATATGGGAAAACTATGAATAGATGAATTATGATTCAAATATAATCCTCTATATATTTCACGGTTTATTTTATTTTACCTAACATACATGGCAAGAAGACCTGAATCAATAAAATTATTTTATTGATGCAATTACATTTTACATTTATAAATAATAGAAAATGGTTAGAAAGAATTTCAAGCGTTTTTTCGGAAAATTGTTGACATTATCTTTTTGAAGTTTCTCCATTTTCATATCTTATAACTGTCAAAATTACTTATGACGATGTCCATACACACAAACTGATTTGTTACTTAGTGTTTATTATTGAGAATGAAATTCAAATGGCGGCAAATTATATTTGATATATTTGTTTTAATAGAATGAAAGTTGTCATTCAGTTGTAATTTATAATATATTCATAAAAAAAAGAATGTCTACTTAGAGAGAATTGGAAAATTACAGGAGAATTGTGTCTGGTTGATTTTGGTAAAAGTAAAAAAGACATTTTTAAAAGGCGACGAAAATGAGTGAAGCAGTGAAAAATTCAAAAGTAATAATTAGACGGTATTTGCTCAGCACCAGACGTGTTTATAAACAATGGGGGGTGGGGGGGTTAATATTGAACTCGTTTGAATATCTACAGTGACGCAGTAAAGCTGTAAGCTCTGTTTCAGTTACCTTCGTATGGTGTTAATCTTTTTTTTAAATAGATTTCAACCCTAAAACGGTAGTAAAGACAAAAATGGGGTTAGTGGGTGTGGAGGAATTCGAAAATAGAAACATTACTAAGAAGCAAGTAAAGAAGGAGAGTAATCAGGAGGACATTAGAAAGTGATTGATATTGTATTTAAAATTTTGAAGATTAAAATTGGCTAGAATGCATAGAGCTGGAAGGGAGTTCCATAAGCGAGATGTGTGAGAGAAGAAACTCTCAGCATAGAACTTACGGTTACATCTAGGAAAATCAACGGTATATCAATGAAACCTTTTCGTCAGTCTAGTACTGCGCGTAAATTAATAAAGTCTAGGTACCATAGCGAAGAGCTCATCCGAACAATTATCATGAAATTATTTATGGAAAAGGCACAGTGAGAAAATCTTACGACTGTGGGAAGATGACTGAAGCTGAGAGGCCAGATAAGGGTCAATAAAATTGCTGATTCTTCTTTGGATTTTATCAAGGATCTCTAGATAGACAGGACTAGCACCAGACCTTATGTGGCAGCAATATTTTAAGCATGGACAAATGGTAGACTTATAGATATGTAAGATAGATTCAAGAAAGAACAATTGTCTAATACGACACAGTGAACCAACATTTTAGAGGCTGGCCCGGCTATAGATTTGATCTGCTTTGAATATGTTACATACAGCCTCAAACATCGCATAGGTAGGTTGGTGCTTTTGTAGCTAACCGACCAGACAGAGTCATTTGTTGTAAGAGGTGGGAGTAAAATTTTCTCATTAATATAATAATTTCAGATGTAAAGATTGGGGACCGGAAAATTCTAGATCACGAGAAAATCAAATACAAGGTCGAGAAAAGTACGAGACGTCCCTGGCTTGACCGAACGAGACAACTATCTTGTACAGATTCTAGTTAAACTAAACACCTGACAATTTGACTATGCCAAAATGCAGTATAAGCAGTGTCTGTCCCCCTGAAAAGAAAAAATAAAATTCTTCATGACTATGAGATTCAAACTGACCCCGCTATTACTAGATCTAGTGGTTGTTCACAAATACTAAAAAATAGTAAATTATTTAACATCGCCCTTCTAGTTGATCACGGCATAAAATCGAAAGTGCGTGAAAGGTTAGAATAATGAATATATGAGACTTGATAGAGAACTAAAACAAATATTGAATATGAAAATGACGGTCGTACTAATAGTGAATGGAGAACCTGAGCTTTTGCAAAAATACCGGATGGATGGAAAATTAGAGGAAAATTTTAAACTGTTCAGTCAACAGTTGGAATTGGCAAGAATAGTGAGGTAAATGTTGAAGAAACAAAAAAAATAAGAAAAAGAAAATGTAAACCTGTACTCTGCCTGCGGCAGACTGCGCAACTCACATGACTCAATAATGTTAGTCACTCTGCCTTTTCATGGTCCAATGGATTCTCACGGGCCACCCGGGCTTATCGAGTCACCGTCTGGAGAATGGTTGTCGATCAAGGCTATAGAACACAATTTGTTCTGTTATTTAATCCATAGCTAGAGGAGAAGAGTTGGATTAATTCTTTCCCAAGGTTATTTACGTGTAAGTAAATGTAACAATCTCCACTGGAAATCGAATTGAACTCTGTTTTCTCATTCTGAGCTGCAATAACACCACATCCACAACTGTTATAGTAAAGAGGAGAGATAATATAGCAGGATTACTCATAAGAAAACGCATATAATAATAATAATAATAATAATAATAATAATAATAAAGGATGTTTTTCTAAAACAACTTTCTGCACATAATGTAATGCATTACTTGTAGATTAATAATAGAATGTTTGCTTATAGATTAAAGTTTAGCTATAGACACATACATAAATGACCAATGTTTACTTATTAACTAAAATGTCAATGACCAATTCTTAGCTATAGACATATGCATAAATTACCAAACTTTGCTTACAAACTAAAATGTCAGCGAACAATGTTTAGCTAATGTGCCAAGGTCCAATGCTTAGCCCTAGACAGATTTATGAATAACGAATTTTTGCTTATAGACTAAAATCTCAACGACCAATGCACATATGACAAATGTTGACTTATTAACCAAAGTGTCAATGACCAATGCCTATCTATAGACATATGCATAAATGACAAATTTTTATTCAAAAAGTAAATGACCAATGTTTAGCTATTCACGTGAGTTTAAAATCAACAAATGTTTAGATATGAATTTAAATATAAAAAAATAGAGATTTGATATTGAATAACTCCACTTATATTGATATATTGCAAAACGCGTGGGCGGAAACGATCCCATCTAAAAGAGTCAATATTATTAAAGTTACGATAGGAAAGACGTAGCAAAATAATAAATTTTGACCATACGAGATAGAGATGGTTGTTATCAATCACATGCAAATACAGGGAGTTGTTTTCTGAAAACGAAAATAGAGTTAATTAGACGGAGGTGGTAGGAAAGTGAAGATTTTAAGGATATGGAAGATTAATAAATATTAACCATTGACTTGAAGAACTTTACATTTTATTGTCCAGGGAAGCACCCACGGAGGAGAATAGTCAACAAAGAGGAACTTCTTGTAAAGGTATCTGAGTAGAATTTTATGACATTTGGAAGACGGAAGTAATGACGGTGATTTGACCACGTGGAAGTAACATAGTGTGCCCTAGCTCTAAACGTCTGAACCAGAGAAACGAAAGAATGGAGCACATTTGAGTATTTGCCATTGAAATAGCGATTTAAGCGTAGAGTAGATGTGGCAGGCCGAAAGTATGGAGCACCCAATTAGGATCGAACTCAGTTTTCAGTTGCAATTGATCTTGCTAAGTATTACACCTTTGTCGAAGTGCCAAAAGCGTTGCGTAAGTGTGAAGGAGGAGGCTGTGTGCTGAGTAATTATTTCCCAGTAAAAGTGGATAAACGATTTTTAACTGAATCAAAATCGGGAAGATAAACTAAACCCCGCTCAAATGTGGCGACAATAACCCAGTTTTGCTTCCATCGAATATGGAAGATAATGGTAGAAGCTATTCCGGATTATTACCAAAAAAATCTACGGGGCATTGAAATACAAGCTAACTTCTGAATCCTGTCGGCGTATTATATTTTCGGAATGAGGTGATAAAAGGATAGAAAAAGTTGGCTAAATATGTGGACCGTATCAATTGGAAATTAAAAGTAACACCAAAGTCATTTAGATAACGGAATTACTACATTGCTAAGGAGCTAGCCGGAGTATTGAGGGATATTTTGGCCGCTTGTTTTCCACTGAAAGCCACCCTATTCTACTTGTGTGCATACGCAATGAGTAAAAATCTTTCTTATAGACGAATTGTATAATTCAAGTTGACATTAATGTAAAAAGATATAAAGAATTTTTTTCAATTTGTCGATGAAGCCGTTTCTGCACAGAATAAGGAAGAACCACAGGATTAAAACAATATCAAGACATTTGACAGAAGCTGTAGAAATTGTGGAATATGACAGAAATCAACCGGCTAACTTTTCATTTGAGTACCGGATATCTACAAAGGTCCTCGTAAAGGAAGACCTGAGACAATGTCAATTACAGAAACATTATGATCGGTAACATTACTGAGTGCAGTCTATTGATTGAAAATGGTTGATATTAGATACCTCTGATGTAGTAATAAGTAACATTTCAATAACTATACTACTACTACGACTAATACTGCTACTACTACTATTACTAATAATAATTATGATAATAAAAAAAACTCATAATGAGAGAAAAGACTGGAATCATGGATTGAAAACATGGAGTGGAAGAACAGCAAAATTGTTAATGAGAGATTAAGTTGGATAGATAGATAGATAGATAGATAGATAGATAGATAGAAACGGACTGAGATAGATAGATAGATAGATAGATAGATAGATAGATAGATATTTTCACTTAGAGCATTTTAATATGTGCTGTGGACAAAATTAATACTGAAAAATAAGTTTTAAGAAAAGATATAAGGATACAAGGATACACAAATTCAAGCAAGTGTAGGAAATCACAATGGAGCAATACATTTAGAATTTATAAGGAAAAACGAAAATGAAAAAAAAACAACAAAAAAAACAAATCAACAAAAAGGAACGGACGCTGTGCAAGAAAGAAATCAGATGTTAGACGAGGAACAAAAGCCGAAAAAGAAAGTCGGGTTAAAGAATACAAATAAAATAGAATGTTCCAAAATAACGAAAGGTACCGACAAATAAACGAAGAAACAAAAGAAGAAAATAGAGAGAGAAAAGAGAAAGAGATGAGAGCGAGAGAAAGGGAGAATGTGAGTGAAAATATAAGATATAGAGTGAGATAGATGTTGAGAAAAAGAGTGAGAATGAGAGAGATATTGAGAGTACGATATATGAAGAGATAGATTGAGAGTGATAGAGAGAGATTGAAAAAGAGAGTGAGAAAGACATAGAGAATAAAATAGATACTTAGAGAGAGGGACAGATAAGTATATATATATATGTATAAAAATATAAATACATATATATAGAAAGAGAGAGAGAATGAATGTGAGAGGGATAGATAGATAGATAGATAGATAGATAGAGAGAGAGATAGAGAGAGAGAGAGAGAGAGAGGAGGGGAGAGACCGGACGCTACCTAAGCCACACAATTCTGGAAGAATTTATGCGGACACAGAAACGACATGAATAGAAATGCGGATTGAGTGTCAAACGTAAAGAACTGAACGACACGAATTCAATGAAGCGCATGATATATTGGCTGGCTGCTTGTTTCCAGTTGTGACCGTCTGCTAAGGTAGCTTGATATTCTGTGTTGTATACGCCTGCAAAAACCCACAGATTTCATCAAAACCTACAGATTTAAAATGCGGTTTACACTGCAACTAAGCTGAGCGCGAACCTTCTGGGTGGCGGTACACAATTCGGAGTAATAAGTAGTTGAATAAGGCCAGTACGCTTAGATCAGCGATTACAATAAAGTCTAAATCTATGCTAGTAGAGCTCTCGACAGCTTTCCAAACAGTTCACACAACCAAATTTAATTCACAAGGCTTGGGTGAACATGTGGTTTTCATGCAATTCCCTAAAGTTGTCTCACGTTAGAACAATCTCATCAGACTGATAAAAAAGGCATCCGATAAATCTAGAATGGTGACATTTGAACCAGGGTCTTATGGACGAAACGCTAACGCTTTATACTAGTCGACCTCGCGCCAACAAGGAAAGTAGTTTATTGTGTTGTGCAAAGCATTCCAGTGTAATATTTTAAATACTAGACATTAGAAATGTGTAGAATAAAGTTGTGACTTTACCGGATGGCCTTAACGCTTTCTACTTGCATGCTGTTTTTGTAAAAACGCCTCTTTACTGTACGGTGTTGTAGGTAAGTGAACATACAAATCATTTCACTCTCGAAATCGCGAAGAACGTGCACACTCGTTTCCCTCTTGGCCAATTGCAAGCATCGCGAGTCAAATAGACTACTCTGAAAATGCTATCATTTGTCACGGATAGTAATAATCATAATTTGGGTAAATGCAAATAAATGGAGCAAAACTTCGTTACCAATGCCACTATTGTTGGAGACAAAATACTTTCAGTCTTGATTATTTAAAAAAAACGGATTTTAAGTAAATCTAAATCAAAGAAATAGTGATTAAGCCGACCAGACAGGAAGGTGACGAGACAGAAATGGATGGACATTGATTCGAGAGTTTCTCTCTTGAAAAAAAACCCGACGGTATCAATCTATTGAGTGTATTCGCATGCCTTCTTTCTAAGTTCTAATCTCCAGAGCTAAGAAGTAAAGTGCAGTGTCCACTGTTTATTCATATCGACCGGCACAAGGTTATTCATTTGTGAGAAAGAGTTACTAAAAAACAAATTTCACGTCAGTTATTTTGCAATAATAATACTAAGCCAGTTCATATGAGAAGAAATTATCAAATATTGCATAATGACTGTAGGTTTCACGCCTCAAAGCGCTTTGACCAAGAAACTGGTAGCAAAAGTTTGACACAAGTATAAACCCGGTCTATATCTCCATTTTTGACACAAGTATAAATCTGATGCATATCTCTCTTTTGAATTAATTATAAACCTATTCTGTGACTCCATTTTCACTCAAGTAGGTCTCCTTATCTTTTGCTTTTAATCATTTAACCACCAAGAAAGGTAATACAGCTTCTAAGACGTAAAGGGTCACTGAGTGTCAAAGAATATGAGAAAAACAAAACATTGTTAAGAGAACAATGAAAGATCAGAAATTAAGAAGGTATAAGATAAAGATTGACATTGCATTTAAATTTTTTAACATAAAAAATTACTGGAAAGGTAGAAACCGGAAGAGTGTTCAAAAAGAGCGAGAAGTGCGAGAGAAGAAAACTTTAGCATAGAACTTACGGTTGAATCTAACCAATTGAACTGTAAAAGAATGTGACCTAGCTGTGTTTAAATTCGAAAAAAACGTGTACCAAAGAGGAAAGTTCATCAGAACAATTTTCATTAGAACATAGATTTCATAATCTGTCTATTAATTCACTGTCATTAACTCTTATATTTGACATTAAATAGTCCAACACACGCTGATACTGGGTGATCCGAAAGTCTTGTCATCTCTACATGACATAATTTTCTATTTCAACTCTGCAGTTTCACAGGAACGATACCAGAATGCCCATCAGCGGAAGGACGGCGTTCGGAGAGGCATTGCAACTATTAACAAAGCACAGCTTCGTAAAATATCCCATAAGAGATGGCCATGCATTATTTTATGACCCGAAAGTGGTGGTGTTCATACATACCCTTCTTGAAGTGTGACAACGACAATGAAAGTGAATAAATTGAATCCAGTACATGTGCTTTGTATTACTTGTTCCTCTATTGTTATCATTACATTTTTTTTAAAAGAGGAGTGACAAGACTTTCGGACCGCCACCGTACTCATGAATTCCTATTCTGCTTTTTTTCCATTTATGCGTCACTAACATTGCGAATTTTCCTATTCCGAAATCCATTCCAATGTCTTTTCAAAATGTCATACCTCTCATTTAGTTTTATTTTCTTAGGAGATTCTAGTTATGTAATAGTGATTGACTAAGCATAGCTGTGGCACAAGTATGAATGTTTAAAGCACCAACTGAAGATCGAACTCACAAATCAGTTGTAATTGGTCTAACGAGACAAGCTTATTAATCATTACATCACGCCGAAGTATCCTCATAGTAAAATAATAATACTAATATCGTAAAATAACTGACGTGAAATATTTTTTTTTAAATCAAGAAGCAGTAACTCTTTCCCTCAAATGAATAACCTTCTACCGGTCGATATGAATAAACAGTGGACACTGCACTTTACTTCTTAGCTCTGGAGATTAGAACTTAGAAAGAAGGCATGCGAATACACTCAATAGATTGATACCGTCAGTTTTTTTTTTCAAGAGAAAAACTCTCGAATCAATGTCCATCCATTTCTGTCTCGTCACCTTCCTGTCTGGTCGGCTTAATCACTATTTCTTTGATTTAGATTTACTTAAAATCCGTTTTTTTTTTAATAAACAAGACTGAAAGTATTTTGTCTCCAACAATGGTGGCTTTGGTAACGAAGTTATTGCTTTTATTACTTCCGAGAGCCGTTGGTTATTTTTAGAACTTACCGCTTGTGCACAGTGTCTGAGTGGGTTAAGTTAATCTGGGCGTGTCATATATAAAGATGATTTCTTTGGTGTTTACATCTTTATATGTGTATGAATGGGACCGCAGGAGGTTGAAACCTAGAGTATAAACAACAAAAAGAGACAACATAGTTTCGATCACGATCGTCTGATATTATTGATAAATATAAAAGGAAATAGTTATCATATCCTTTTCCATTTAGGCGAGTATCATCAATCTTCGTCGACAACGTTTCGGATGCTGTACTCTATAGCCTTCTTCAGATGTTCATCGCCCTCGCTGGTACTTTGAGGCGCCAAATAGAACGGGGCGTTTATTTTTATTTTTTTTATTTTCTGACTCAAGTCGATATTATTACGACCAATGCATTTATTGATTTCGCATCTTTTAAACCGTTACATCGTTTTCGGGCGCTACTTTTAATAATTATTCCCTGTTTATTGTATTTTAAGAAAAAAGAAATCCGACTTCTAAATATTAAGCCTTCTTTTTGTATTAGATATGTTGGAGTAAGCTCAGAACAATTTATTATCAATTATCAATTATTTCCATGTTCCGACGAACTATATTCCTTAGATCCACCAGTTTTAATCTTCACAGCTAAGACCCACCATACCATTGGTATCCCTTTGGTAAAATGTACGTTCCACTTAAGAAGCTTCTTGCCACGAACCGTTACTTTGTGGAACCGATTCCCAAGAGAATGCTTCCTCGTCCAGTGAAATCCCAGCCTGTTCAAATCTCAATATTTATAAATTTGATTTAACTTTGTGCTGCGTCTCCGTTTGCCTTCCACTGAATCAGAATATGTAACTTTTCAGCACTACTTGACTCACGGTAAAAGAAGAGAAGATTTAACCAACAATTTATCCACATTTGCCTCTTTGATAATCTTGTATTGTAAACATCTAAGCAGATTCTTCACAGAATCATTAACAGAGAGGTTTTCGTTTTATGAGTGATTGATTAATTGATTTTACGGTTTATCAACCTTTTGCTGGTTAGAATTTTTTTTAAAGATATTAATCACTTCTTGATACAAGTTCTGCTAATTAACCCATACCTAGAAGTAGAAGAGACAGATTCACATTTTCTCAAGTTTATATGCGAGTAAGGGAATAAAATAAACCTAACTGCAATTGGAGCTTGCTTTTCTGATTTCCATTTCCGAGCCGTTATCCATTACACCACCCGCATATTAAAGCTTACAGCACCTGGTATTCACAAGCTGTCATTCATCTAGGTACAGAGCCATATCGCGTTGAAACACGCTTCTCGTACATTCACCAAAATTAAGCAAGGTCAAGCCTGGTCAGTACCTAGATGGGTGACATCAGTTAAACACATGGTGCTGGAGATCACGGTATTTTAAATATCTCTACAATTTCAGAATCGGAATGTCCCCACCATCTATTATCGCCTATAGTAACCCATATGAACTTTGATAATATTCGTTGCCTTGACATGAACAATCTTGAAGGTATTCACACTTATATGGGTCTGGACGAATCCATGGCGTCAATGTATTGTGGTACCATTGACTTTACATAGTGCCATTACATAACTTTTGGGTTTGTAGAATATATAACAACATCTTCACGGGTAGCCCCTGCTTTGCTTGGAGATGGGTGATTTTTTTTCAAGTCGTTATCTCCCGAATGGTTGTCAGCCAAATCTACAGAACCTAGTTTGTCCTGCTGTTTAACCCATAGCTGAGGATAGAAGAGATGCATTCATAACTTTCACAACTGTATTTCCACAGAAGTGTAAGTAAATATTCAAAACCATACCAAGATGGTGGGGTAAAAGTTTTTACTGCTTCATAAGTTGATGTAGTAAAAAGTAACAAAGGAGGTAACAAAAACGATGATTATGCTGTTTCTGCTACTGCTACTGCTAGTACCGTATTAAAGAAGAAAAGAAAGAAAATTTGACCATTGAAAACTATATATATATATATATATATATATATATATATATATATATATATATATATATATATATATATATATATAGTTAGTTTTATGACTATTAGCAACTAATAAAAAAAATCTGAGACTATTTTTTTGTTGTTTCTTTTGTCTTCCCTTATTTATATCGGAAAATGTTATTTTATCTCAAGAACTATTTGGAGTTTAATGATCTTTCTCAAAACTATGCAAAATACTAAAATATTCGTTGTTTGTGGGGATATGTATATCTTCTTTAGGAATGTCAACCAGTTATTCATAGTTAACCTCATGTTTTTGTTTATACAGTTTCTTTGCATGACGGTTTTTCGAGTAGCATATGTTGAAATAGCCATTCAATATTCATAATACTATATCCCCCACAAAAATTTCCAATCGCCCACCATTTTCTGTTCAGTTGCTTATCGCCCACACAACAGTTGAAATCGCCTGCCGGTGGAAGATATATGTTTTTGTCACTACTGTCCTTTGTATTCGCTTATGTATATGCAGACACAGGCTTCCTAACTTCGTCCTGGGTATGACAAAAATCTACATCCGGCAGCAAGGCCTCTGATCGGGACACTGGAGTTATTTTGGAGCGTGGAACAACCCCATAATTGCTGTTGTTCCCAGGTCCATCTTGACCCGGGGTGGTAGCACCTGTTAGGACCCCAACTATGAGCAAATAATGTACCCGCAAACAAAAACCAACAGTAATAGTAAAATGTAATAGTAAAAGTAAAATGACAAACGATATATTTTTTATAGCAAGATGA